ATTAAATGTTAACAAATGGATAAATCCAATTCTCTGGAAGTGAATGAATCAAACAACTAAATGCTTGATCATTTAATTGTTGGAAGCAGAAAAATTAAATGTTTCTATAAAAATTTAGAACTGAATCAGTTTTTCCTCAAATGTAGGATGAGAGGACATAGCTAAAAATAGTCAAAATTTCGGACACGGATACATAGAGATGTCTTTCACACTTAATTTTTTCTAGAAATTCACATGTAAAAAGTTAATTAAAAATTAAGTGACAAATTGTTAAAAGATAGAACATGTCACTTGAAATCAGCTAGAAATTTATACTAAAATTCTAAAAACCAAAATCTGCATAAATTTACATGACAAAAGCACAAAATTAAAATAAAAGTTAGAAAATGTCATAATTAATTACAATTGCCATACCCGCTTGAAAATTGAAGGATCTGCTCCATATTTCATACCCATAACCGTATTATGTCGTGTCGACACAGGTATGCCGACCGGAATGCCAAGTCCAAGCATCAAAGGTGTAACTGAAATGGAAAACATTTTTAACCATGCACTAATTGATTTCATTTTTCCTCTTTCCTCATATGTATAAGAAATGTTTGCGGACAAGGATTTCATTTCGTAATCAAGTCTTGTTTTGATATTATGATTCATATTCATCTTCTTCTCCATTTTTCTTGGTTTCCATTGCTGTCATTCATACTTTTATCCATCATTTTCAAACGATATCTCCTTATTTTACTGCGATGGAAACGGAGTTTACACTTGCAACAATCAAGATGATGAATCAAGATTTGGTACACTTGGACAAATTTGATGGTGCAAACTTCACAAGGTGGCAAGAGAAACTGAAATTCCTCCTTACAGCGTTGAAGATTTTCTATGTTCTTGATCCAAAATTGGAGTTGATTCCCGATGCAACCGAAGAAGAGACTGAAGAAGTTCGTATAGAATGTAAAAAAGGGGAAGATGATAAGTTAATATGTCGTGGCCACATTCTAAATGCGCTATCGAATCATTTGTATGATCTCTACACCAACACCATTTCAGCAAAAGAAATCTGGAACGCACTTGAGAATAAATTTAAGGCCGAAAAGGAAGGTACAAAGAAATTCTTAATCTCTAAATACTTTGATTTTAAGTTTTTGGATAACATTCCGTTGTTACCTCAAGTACACGAATTACAAGTTATTGTTAACAAACTGAAAGCGGTAAAAATCGAATTTCCTGAAACTTCCCAAGTGGGAGCAATTATTGCTAAACTCTCGGGCTTTTGGAAATGATATAGGAAGAGGATTTTTCATAATTTTGAAGATTTTTCTTTTGAACAAATACAAAAACATCTTCACATAGAGGAATAATCGAAGGCAAGATATAAGGCTGGAAATTCTTATGATAGCTCTTCGAAAGCCAATGTCGTGGATAATGTTGATAACACCAACAAATACAAAAAGAAAGTGAAACCTCTTAATCCTAAAAAGGATCAAGGGAAGTTAAAAAAGAAGTCCAAGGGACCTTACTGTGTATGTGGAAAGTCGGGACACTGTGCTAGAGATTACAAGAATAGAAAACAATCAAAGAAGGAAGGACGAGTGAACTCCATTGATGAGATTATCGCTACGATGAGTGAAATCAATGTAGTCCAAGGGAAAGTTCCTGCATGGTAGTATGACACCTGTGCAACCATCCATATTTGTTATAATAAGTCTCTTTTCAAAACTTATCATAGCATTGATGATGGTCAAGAAATTCAAATGGGAAATGAAGGAAGATCAAAAGTAATTGACAAAGGCAATGTGGAACTCATATTCACTTCGAGAAAGAAGATTACTTTGACCAATGTTCTTCATGTACCAGAAATGAATAGGAACTTAGCAAGTGGAGTTTTGTTGGAAAAATTTGAAATTAAAACTGTATTTGAGTCCGGGAAACTTGTACTAATCCATATCGGGTATTTTATTGGAAAGGGCTATTCTATTGATGGAATTGTCAAACTATGTACTATTGAGGATAATTCTAATAAAAACAAATCATTTACTTATGTTGTTGACTCTTTTAATTTATGACATGGTAGATTAGCACATATAAGAGTTAGTACCATGAAAAGAATGATTAAATGTGGTTTGATATAATGTGACATTAATAAATTAAAAAAAATGTGAAACTTGTATTAAATCTAAAATGATTAAAAATCATTTCATAGTGTAGTAAGATCAACATGTTTATTTAAACTTATTCATTCTGATATATGTAAATTGAACGGCATGCTAACTATATGTGGTAATAAATATTTTATTACATTTATTGATGATTGCTTTAGATATACATATGTGTATTTGTTAAAACGTAAGGATGAAGATTTTAGTGTTAGACTTGCAAAACAGAAGTTGAAAATCAATTAGGAATGAAACTTAAAAGAAGTGATAGAGGTGGAGAATACTTCTCCAATGAATTCAACTTGTTTTGTGAACGAAATGGTATAATACATCAATGCTCTGCACCACGAACACTGGAACAAAATGATTTAGATGAAAGGAAGAATAGGACATTTTTAGAGATGATAAATGTCATGTTATTGAATTTTGAATTACCCAATAACTTATGGGGTGAAGCCTTACTTAATGTTTGCTATATAGTAAATAGGATTCCTTCGAAGAAAAATAAGGTTTCTCTATATGAAATTCGGAAAGGTAGGAAACAAATGTCAATTATTTTAAAGTGTGGGTGTGTCTTGCTTACTATAAGAATATAGATCCTAAGAGAACTAAATTAGGTCCTAGAGGCATTAAATGTGCCTTTATGGGATATTCTTTAAATAGCAATGCCTATAGGTTATTAAACCTAGAAACTGATGTCATAATATAATCAAGGGATGTAGAGTTCTTTGAGAATGTATTGGTAATAAGAAATTCTCAAAATGAAACTTATGTAAACACTATTAAAATTATTAAACCCTATCGTTGATAAATAGTGTTGGTTGTTACTGTTAGAAGGATGAGTTATAATTAAAACTCTTAATGAAGTTCGGTATGGAGTACAAGTATCCCTAAAAGTAACAAAGATACAGGAAGAACTTCACCTATGTGAACTTCGAGGTGGTGCCGTCTCATTTGAGAATTGAAGTTTTCTCTCTTTAAAAGTTTAAAGAAATATAAGTGTAAGGTCATATTAGTACTAAGCGAGTTAGAGAAACCTATGGAAATTTAAAACTTGTGTGTGTGATTTCATCGGTATTATCACAAGGAATAACTGGTTCAAAGCGTTATACTTACCTGAAATTTCGATAATGCTTTATGAGATTTACACTGTGGTTATATTCCAATCGAAAAATATCTAACTATTATGCATAAGTGTTGATATTTGATTATGTGATTAACATTGATTTTGAACAAGTGGGGGGATTGTTGGTATTGTTGTTCAAAATCGTGAAATAACCATGGATGGATGAATTTGTAAAGAAGAGGAAAAACCAACCTTGGTACCACAAAAATGGCCTATGCGGCATAGGTCATATTGGCAAGGAATTCTGGGGGCTGCACTGTTATAACTATGCAACCGCATACTTATAGCCTACGCGGTCGCATAGTAGTAAAATCCGACCATTAGGTTGGATTTTTTCGAATTTTTTGGTGGTTTTATGGTGAAGAATTGCACATTTTCTTCTTGTGTTGAAATCAATTTGTGTAGGAATGGTTGAAAACTATAAATACATGTTAGTTTTCATTCTAAAATATATGAAATCATCTAATTATTCACCTATAAATTCTGGTCAAATTTGGTTACTTCACATAATCATTCCTACATTTTCACTTGTTCTATTTGAAGAATCACTTTGCTTTTAGCGTTCTTCATTCAAGGCTTGAAAATCCTACAAACTATTTGCTAATTTTAATCCTTAAAAGCAAAGAGAATGAAGTAAATATTGTTTGAGGACAACGATTTCATTTCATGATCAAGTCTTGTTTCGATATTATTATTCATATTCATCTTCTTCTCCATTTTTCTTGGTTTTCATAGCTGTCATTCGTACTTTTATCCAACAGTTAGGTCTTCCTTTCGGTATGCAATATCAATATGCAAAGTTTATTTCTCTCGTATCCCAACTTTTGAATTTTTTTGTTTGAGAAACTTCACAACTATAATTGCAAACAATCAATTAAAACGACTCCCATCTTTATTATGTAGTCCATCTCGGGCCCTGCCCCTGTCTAAAATTATACTGTTTCTATTATTGTTAAGGTAAAAGTCGATCACATTCTATCCCGCCCATTCCTTTAGTTCGTTCTCAATTGAAATTATTTTGTATCGTGAAACAGTTATTTGGCGATGTGGTATGTATTGTACTAACCTCTTTAATAAACAAGCAAGGGATTGATTGTTGATCTACGACAGTCATTGTGTTGATGTCGTTTTGCCGTCTATCCTAATTTTGACTATACTCTTCACCTAAACCATTTTTCCCTTTTTCGTTTTTTACTTTTTTTATGCCCCAAATAGTGTATAGCGAGGTTAGATGCCTCTTTTATAGATCTGCTGGCCAAAATTGCGCCAAACCACGACCCTCGATCCACCCCCTGTCTCGCTCGCTCGCTTCGCTCTAAAGAATTACACCATTCCCATATAAGGTGATCAACCCCTATTTTTTCTGCTCTCGAGATAATTAGGTTACACAGAGAAAAGAAAGGTAACCATGGAGCAGCGTTATATGTCTCAAAAAAATCCGTAGTTATGAAGTTTCAAAATCTTGTATCTCTGTTTCCTTCTACATGGAATTGGAAAAATCTCTGCTTTTCTTCATTTACTGATTTGCCCGCATAATGACTAATTTTTTTTTCGCAGTTCTCGGTTTCTAGATCTCTGCTTTGTTTTTTTCAAAATTCAATTGGTTTCTGAACATCTAATTTGGTAAATTTTATTTTTCAATTCTAATTCCTAATTCTTTGGGTTTTTCGAGTTTTTTGTGTTATATTGAAGGTTTTGCGTCTTGAGGTGTTCGTGTAATGGATGATAACAATTTGATGGGTGAAAATTTAGTGGATCTTGATTTGAACCTAGAACCTTTGGACCCACCTCTGAATTCAGATTCGAGATTTGGATCTATGTTGAATGAGTTGGAAACTACCCATGGTAGGATAGAGGAAAGGATTAGAGAGCTTGAAGCTGTCACTTCTCGTGCTAGGCAGCGCCAAAGGTGGCGCCAATTGCGTAATGCTGTTGAAATAAGCGACTTTTCTGGTGCACATGTGGATGGTGAGAGAGATGCTCTTAGTGGAATTGATTGTGGTGTTATAGAAAGGAGTGCTGAGAGGGGAAAAGGTTGTAAAAGGGGTAGTTCCTATTTGGTCGCAAAGGCTTTGGAGATGGATTCCGATGTTAAGAAGGTTGATAAGGAAGGTGGGAGCTTCTATGATTGTAATATATGCTTGGAGGTGGCAAGGGAACCTGTATTGACTTGCTGCGGTCACTTGTTTTGTTGGGTGTGCTTTTATCAAGTGTCGTATATTGATTCAACTTCCAAGGAATGTCCGGTTTGTAAAGGAGAGGTATCTGATATCACTGTTATTCCTATTTATGGGAATGGGGATAGTGAATCTGTGGCTGAGTTGGAATCCGGCTTGAAGATACCTCCGAGGCCCAAAGCTCAGAGAGTAGAGAGCTTGAGGCAGCAGCAAGTGACAAACGGTCTATCTCGTGTTCCAGTTGAGGAAGCTTTGAGGCGAATTAGGATTAGTATTGGTGCAATGGGGGATCAAACTGAGGGCGGAAGTCGTAATTTCAGGTTTGAGTCTGATGCTCCAGAGGTGCAAACTGGAGAGGCAGCAAGCCGCCGCCACCTTAGGGTCCAGCGGGTTTCAAGAGTACCATCTGAAAGAGCTGCTTCTCTGTCTTCCCTTTCCTCTGCTTTGAGTAATGCTGAAAGGTTAGTTGAGGACCTTGAAACAGTTATTAACAACCGGTTTTTATGGAGTGATGCCCGGGGTTCATCAGTTGATATTGGGAATAATTCTCTTACTAGTGATTCTGCTGTCATACAATTAGACCATCAGGCTCCAGATTCAAGTGCAGCCATTTCCTCCTCTTCCCAAACAAGGGATATTCCTAGTACTGTTGTACCTATCCTGGCAATGAGTACTTCTAGTGAAATCAATTTGCCCACAGCACCTTCTTCTTTTGCTACCCGCAGAAGAAGAGTTTTGTCTAGAGTTTCAAATGCAGACAATCAGGATTCCCGTGAATCTAGAAGGAGAAGATTGAGCTGAATGATTCCTGACAGAATAAGAAATGGTAACTTTGACACACTCATATTGAACAATAATTTTATTATAGTTCTTAAATTACTCGTCGTTTGTTTTATATCACCCGTTTTCCAGAATATTATGTTGGTAGATAGGTTTTTGCACAAGGTAGAATTCTTTCAACAAAAAAGAATTGACTGGCTTTTTATGTCTGTTTGACAACCTTTCTTTCCAAACACTTTTTTCTCATTACTCATTTTCAATCACACGTTCTCGCAATATAATATTCATAATGAAAACCCAAAATTTTTCTTTACTTTTTAACTGCACATTCTCCAAAAATTTACCATTGGAAACTCATTCTTTCCAAAAAAAAGTTCTGTCATACTTGTGTCTTTGACAAACCTTGTTTTACATCCTAATAGATATACTTTCTGGAATTACTTTGACCTCCTCGGAAAGTCATTTTCGTTGTGTAATTTACTTAATTAACCCTGACATTTGAATCTCTTCTTCTACTTTACATTTTCATCTTGGTATTCTATTAGTATCCTCTTCCTTCCATAGCGTGCCTAACATTTTCGGGTGCTCTCCTTTTCGATCAGAGTCAAACCAGGACCAATCAAAGCCATATCTATGTAAAGTTTTGTCTTGGGAGTTTACTCAACCCATTCCCTAGTTTCCTGCATCGTTTCCATACATGATTTTTTTGCTAAGATCGCCCCCACCGACCAAACCAACTGCTTATCAAACATACTTCGATGCTATACAACTTATATGACTTGTGAGAACAGCTAAGGTTCCATTCTATTTCCAAGCGCGATTGCCATAATTTATACTTCCTCAACCACTTCAAGAGAGGTTGATCGTAAAAATAATAGTTTACTCATTAGTTCATATGAATCTGATGACTATTGGTATTTTATTCGGATGACGTCCGTTAGGTCTCGGAATTTTATTTATGGACCCACAGAACCTGAAGATCATAAACATTTCATCTCTTCTTCTGTCACAATCATTGTTATTTATGACATTGGAATCCCTTGAAAAAACAATTCTCAAAGATCAATTAAATGGGTTTCCGTCAGCATTTTCTCTTGAAAAATCATTAGATTAGTGGGCCTTTCTCCACCAGCTGTCAAAAATTGAATGTCAAAGTACATTTCTTGTCCCATTGAAGAATCTATTCAGCCCTGTTTGAGCCCCATTTTTTGGGGAAAATGGGTTTGTAATAGTAATTTTTTAGGAGAATGTAAAATTAAAAAGTATGAACAAGTTTTGGATTTATGTGTAAATTTATTTTACAGGAAAATGTGTGATTAATAATGAGTTACGAAAAAATGAGTTTTGAAAAAAATGGAGCTAAAACAAGGGCTCAATAAAAAGTAATAATGCTATTCATCCCCATTGGGGTTGAGTCCCAGTCTATGTGTCAATTATATGACATTAAATGATAGACTCAATTAAATGAGTCATTTGACTTTGTATTTAAATGAATTTATCATTTAATGTCATGTAATTGTCACATAGATTGGAGTTCAACCCCAGTGGGGATGAATAGTATTACTCAATAAAAAGTATTGACCCATATCAAAGGAAGTCATTAAACATATTTTTCATTGCCATGCTCATGCCATCACAAAGAAACAAACACTTCAAGAATTTATGTGGAGATTTACACCCTATCTACTTTCAGTGTTTGTGCGTGCCTGTGTGTGTGTGTGTCTTTTTCCCATCCAGTACACATTATTGGTTACATTCTTACATTGATGTGCATGTGGGTTGGAAGCCTTTGATGTCTTCATATTAGAGAATTTGGGGACAAGATACAGAAAACTTAACTGACCATATACCGGCTCATTTACACCCTATGAAAATTTATACATACGTAGTCTGATTTTTTTTCTTAATTTTCTTGAATGCGTTTTATCGAGGATCAATAAAGGATGATATAGGGGACGCCAAGACTGGTTCATGTCTTGGGTAGACCTAAAAAACTAACATTCACAAGAGCAGTGGAATCGGAATAGAATGGTTTAGGACGAAGACAAGGATGGGTAGACTGAAATTAACATGTCATGAACTGATTGCAAAAGATTTGATTCATCAATATCAATGAATCGAATGAGGTCTCGACAAAGGTTCATTTAGTTTTTTTTTTTTTGGTTATTTTTGTCAATTAGATACATGGCAATTTAAACAATAGCGGCAAAGATTATTTGTGTGGGTACTGTGGATCAGTAGTAATGTTTTCCTTTCAAGATTAATCAATAGCTCCATCTATATTTGGAACTTTTATTTTATTTCATTTTTTTAAAGGGGATCGATGGATTTCACCCCATCCTCCAAAAGTAGGCTCGAACCCAAGTCATCAGCCTAGGAAGGCTTCGCTCTTACCACTTGAGCTGGAGGCCTTTCCACCTATATCTTTGTCGAATTGACCTCACAAAACTGAATTCTTACAGAAGAGTAGTTATAAATAGTTAGCATATATAGAAGCAGGTGTCAGTGTCAAAGAACTTTGCCATATAGAATTCCTAGTTAGTTTTACTGAACTACAAAGCTAAAAACTGAAAGCTGTACCATCTGCATCATTTTCTTCCTTTTGAACCTCGAGTTTTGCAGGCATTTAACGCTTTTCATTTTCTGTTGGAATATTTAAATTATATTCCTCGTATATGGTTTTTTTTTAACAGAAGTCATTTCTTCTACTTTAGCTTCATGTAGATCGATGCTTTGCCTACTTGGAGTTTAGCATCTGAGATATGGGTGTGCACTCCACCTTCTGGTGGACATTTTTAAGACCTTAGACGTGCAAGTATGTTGCAGGATTTAAAGGACAGTATAAGATATCGGGAGTTTATTACTGTTATAGGCTTAAGTATTTTCTTTCCCATCTTGTGACTGATTCGTCGCTGTTTTACAGTTTTATTGATTCTCAAATTGCCCTGTTTTTGGGCTTATGATCCCACCAATTGAATGGTTTAGGTGTACTGCCAGATTTTGTTACTTTTTCGGGTAGCGGGTAGTGAGTTGGGATTTGTCATCCCGTTTGGTTGCCCTGCCACTAAATTTTTGGCATATTGACACGTCGAGTTGTTAGCAAAGAAGAAGACACCAACATAATACCCGTGGTGGGACGGTTTTCAAAATGCTTGCACAGAAGTACCAATGTAATAAAAAAGCAGTTGTTGAAAATACTAATCAATTGAATATGAATTTGTCTACGCGTTGAAACTTGTTGAACAACTTCATCTGAAAACTTAAGTCGTTAGGGGATATTATAGAAAAATCATAATATTCTTATTATTAATCTTCAGTTAATCGACGCATATTGCTCTTAGGGTCTGTTTGATTGTAAAAGTGGAATTTTGGGTGGAAAGAATGAATTACAGGGAATTGAAGTGTCTAAAATTTGTTTTAATGGGAATTGTAATTAATTGTGTTTGATCGGTATAATTTTTCACCAGAAAAATGTTGAAATTTTGGATCTTTTAGTGTTCGTTTGACTTTGTTTTCCATATAAATTTTTCATTAAAGGGAATTTTTTTTTTTTTACAATTATCCATAAAATTTGTTTTCATTGCCAAAAAAAAAAAAAAA